TGGCGATGTACCGACACCGGGTGACGCCTGGTGTTCTTCTGTGTGCGGTCAAACATGCGTCTTATGCGGTGGTGCGCCTTATCTGTTGGCGTTTGAATTTTTTGGGGGTGATTTTAGGGACCTGCGCCTTATCCGCCGCGCGCCTTTTCCGCAGGAAATTACGGTATATAGGTCGTATGGCTGACTGCCAAAGGCACTTTACATGCCAGCGGCTCGAGAATGTTGTAGCCGCATCCTTCGCAATTCAGCCTCTCAGCTGCAAGCAAGGATGATTAGCCTCCCAAATGATCATGATTATAAAGTCTATGAAATCGGGGGAAAAGCAGCAGTCCAAATGGAACATCCCTTAGCTGTTCCGGCATAAAGCAGATTTACAATTTAGTCGTTTTGAATCGGCAGGTGGAACCACCAGACCCCGCCCCTCAGCAGGAGACATCGGTAGTGGTCCCCGAGGGCAGCACCATCATGCAGATGCAGGACGGAACGTTCCTGGTCCAGCGACCCGACGGCACGGCTATGCAGATCCACACACCGGAGGGAATGAGCATTGAGACGGTACAGGAGCTGTTATCGATGGAAGCAGGGCAGGGTGAGAGGTCAACCTGTACAAGGATCTGACTTGAAGAAGTAGAGGCAGCTTGCCGCCTGAAACCCCCTCCCTCTAGTTTTCAGGCCAGTGATGGGAGCAGGCGAAGATTTCAAAATCCGGTTATCCTATTTATTATTTTTTCAAACTGAATAAGAGTGATCTCATTTCACTGGAAGTTCTCAGTCTGGTCAGTCATCATCATCGTCATCGGTTTGGAGGCCGTTGTCCAGTCTGTTCTGGGTTGGCCTTCTTTCTCCCTATGGCTCCTCTCCACATGGCCATGACCGTCGCGTCCCTCGCGTCATGCTAACAAAGAGTGACAAATGAGGTGCCGCATGCGATGCCCTTCACAACGATTGGTATAACTTACAGGGTTCAATGACCACTGGGCCTTCACAAAAACACTCCAATGCTGCAATGGTGATGGAATGGGGGGGGGGGGGACTCTCTGATTATTTAAATGGGCAGGCGTTTCATAAACCAAAAAGATCACTAGCAAGCGAGTACAGTTACAATCAGAGACCATGGAGCAAATGGAGGGATGTTCCAGTTTTCTTTAGCTTGTAAAGAAACTCTGTTTCTAAGGAATACTTTGTTTTGAGGCTTACTTGCTGTGGACTCACTAGTGACTTGACCTCGGGGTAGCTTAACTTTTTTAAGTAGCATATTCAAAATGTTATTGTACACTAGTTTGCAATTTCAACAAATGAAAATTCAATACTGGTTTCAGTAAGCCAGTTCATGTGCATGTAGTGTATGTAGGGAGACAGGCAATGGAGATCTTGTTATCCTTTACGACTGAGGACTTTGGACAATAGAGTGTGTGCGATGACAACCTGAGGACCTGAGCCAAGTCCACAGGAGGTTTTCATCGATAAACCTTATCCCTAACCCAGGGTATGTTTGCTAGAACCCTGCGAAACGTATCAACATGCGACACTTGACTAAGTGACAAGCCTGCCAAATGTAGCAAGATCCATCAGGGGAAAAGTCTCAAGGCCACACTGCCTCAGAGTCTGCTCACCAAATGCAGCAGGATACAACTGTGGCATTGTTCAATGGGACTAGCTCTCATTGTTTCAGAGCTGGCCATTCATGCACTGGTGTTGGTAGCTTAATGAATCAAAGTGCACCATTTCTTTTTTACATGATGCAATGTGTTGCGTCTGGCAGGGTTTATAGGGTTAAGGGACGTGTTGAGAAAAAGTACATACAATAGGAATAAAAGAAGGGAATACTAGGAGATGCTCATTAGTATGGGATAACACGACTGCGTTGAGTGTGTCATGTATGATGCGGCCGTGAGGTGTGCGCCACTAAGTACGGTTCTGCAAGTACCTGACCACAAAGGCAACGGGTACAAGGTTCCAAAAATACCCATAAATGAACACCCATAGATATAATTCGGTGAACCTTAAACTGTCACATTCATTGCAAAATACCATTGTCTGCATAAAGCTTAAGCAACTTAGACTCTCTATAGGTAAGCACTGTCGATATATTGATATTGCTCGACTATTCGATATTATTTTGATACCGATATTGTCGATGGCATTTTTTTATCATATCTAAATATCGAAATATTCTAGATATTGGATTTCCGATATATTGATTATTGAAAATCCTGATATCGACGGTGCTTACCTGCAGGGTGAGTAGCTCAAAGATTAGCAGTACCAGAAATATTACAAGACTTATGGGCAGGCATGCAACTTTTCCTCGGATCAGCTGATTTCCTCTTTTTTACTTCCCAAGTGTGCCATTGAAAATAGAAAAACACTGTACAAAGTCTTGGAAAGATGTGAATTTCCTCTTTTTTGTGACTTCCCATGTTGCATGCCTGTATAGGAAAGGGTTTGCCATGCTATCGTCGTTCCCAAAGGCAGTGACAAAGCACTCTTCTAAACACCTTGCCGCTGTTGTGCTGAACTCAATTGAAGTTGGGTTAACGGTTTAGGAATGCGCATACTCACAATAACCTCTTTCGCGTCCTCCACAGGGAGTGAATGTGGCGCGAAGACTTGATGGTGCGAAAAGTCCATTAAAATTGCTTGAAAATAATTTTAACAATGGCAGGCCCCTCTGGATGTATAGACTAATTACGCTCGGCATTTAGAGCAAATGCCTTGCCATACCTGAGCGTTTGCAGAGCTCAATTCAATTTAGTTCAGCAGTGGCATTGCGTTTAGAACAGGCCCAAGGCACATGAGATCGTGAACTAAATATAACCAAGATATGGGACTGATAAGGTTAACAAAACTAATGTGCATGTCCATACATCCGAAACACTCATGTTTTGGATTCTTATTTTAACTGGAATATGTACAAATTTGTGGTAGTGGTTATTTTGTATGCATGGCTTCAAAGCTCAAATGTGTGCTCCATGATGTATGTACCATTATTATGTATAAATGATGTCATGTATATTTCTTGTGACGATTGATCACTGCTATTCAAGAGTAGTTTGCTTTCATCTGACCTCTAAACCTAGATGTTTTGTTAAGGTTGCATTGTGAGTTATTAGCATCTGCAGCTTTTTGGGTACCACTAGGGGTGTGTATCTGAATCGGGTACCGGAGTACCCGACCACTGATGTCCGGAACCGGTTCCAGATTATGGGATCGGGTACCCGTGACCAACTTTACAGATTACATAGTAGCTTCTCAGACAATGAAAAAGAAAGGTTTTGAATACTATTCGTGGGAAATATTCAAAATGAAAACCAGGCTAATAATGGAAAACCAAAACTGATTTCATGTTAATGTGCGTTAGATGACACTCGCAAAAGTTGGTTTACACATTAAAGTTAAAGACCTGAAGCCCTTCAGACAGCTTCCGGGATTTTAATTTTGGGGTTGGTTTTCTTTTGCAGGTATCTGGGTACCCATGTTTTACTTCAGTAGGGTACCCCGCTCCCATACTAACTCTAAATGCATACCACTAGGTAGCACCAGTCATTTATGAAACCTCAACTTTTTCTCCGACTACAAGACTACACTTTTGTGAGAATTGTATTAACCCTCCTGCTATCTGAACAGTCACAGACAGTCAAAAAATCAATCCTCTTCCCCTGCCATGCCTATTACACAGGCTAGTTACCAGCAGTCAGATCATATTTCAAGCAAGCACTGTGACTAGTCAAATTCAGTCAACAGACAAAAGCAGACAAGTGGTAGGGACAGCTGGCTTTATCAATCACCTACAGTCAAAGCATAGCTGTATCAAGTTACATAAACAGTCACAGCCAGTCAAATTCAATCCTACTTTATAAATGTATGTAGGATTGGAGCTCTTAACTATTGAAAACAGACACTTGATTGATTTTGGCTGAAAGGACAAATTGGCGTAGAAAGTATTTTTTCCACAGGAGGGTTAAAGTTGATAATCATTGTGATACTGGGCGTTGAATGTGATATTTGAAACCTGTGTGATTCCACTCTACAATAGACGTCAATCATGGTGACGTCACGCTTTGTTTACATGTGGGCTCTCAATATGGGAGCTTGGTTGAAGATTGTCCCCATGTGGCTCCCGTATGCAAACATACCTGTCAACAGGGTGCGTCACCAGAATGGCATATTTATCCAATCTTAGCACAGGCCAAGTACTTGGTTCTTTTATGCTGTCGTAATTACACAGTTTGATTCGTAATGATTGTAAATGAAATGCTAATATTCTTTTCGAGTCCTAAAATTTAAAATGCAATGATTACATTTCATAAGAATATGATCAATGAAAAAACATGAGTAATGTGACTAAATTGTTGAAATATTATAACTTAAATTGAAGCTTTGTAAAATTATTGCCATTTATTCAGGAATGTGAACTCATTTCTAAGTATGACACCAATCTGCTTCAAGTCACTGTGTGTATTATAAGGGAGTTTATTTGCTGTTGAACAAACGTTTTGTTCTCAAAACTGATCATGTGGTCAAGCAGTCTTGTAGATAAATGTGTTTGTAAATCTGCATTTGACAAAATCAATTGCAGCGGTTTAGATCAGGTTGTCTTGCAATAGCATCTTGTGTTGAATATGTCATTAAACAAGTTCAACAGAACATTGTCTGCTACTCACTTAATGTGTTTTTTAATCTGAAGAATGTTACTTCATGGATTTTGTGTGTGTGAGGGGGGTGGGGGGTTATGAGGATCTGATACACCGTACCCTCTGGAGACATGCACACAATAGGGAACAAAAGATTGTATACGTCTCCACAGGGCAATTTCTATAGATGAATACGTCTCCACAAGGTTTTCACGAAATAAATATATGGATTTTACTCAAAAATTAGGAATTTCCAAGGTGGGTTGATCCGTCGCAAATGGAAGAGTTTTAGAAAAGGGATATGAAGTCCGAATTTCAGCCAAGGAAATTAATTCTGGTTAAAATAAGAGCATTTTGAAACTACACTTTCAAACTCGAAAACTTTACTACACGAGAACAAAGAAATGTCTCCACAAGGATACAAATTTTAATATGCGTGCCCTCTCTTGCGTGCCCTCTCTTGTTTATGCACCAAGCCCATTAGCCCTATAAACAGGCACTACAATGCTTCTTTCCATTCAACAGATCTGCTCTGATTTTTTTTTTTTTTTCACTAAGCAAATTTTGCTAAGAGGTTAACAATCCTTGCAGCAGGAAGCTACTGTTCAAACAATGCAAGTGTAATCTTCCCAGCAATCCGGTAGGCTTAACTCTGATGGCCAAGGGACTGCAGGACCAACTCCAACATATGACGGTCAATAGCCTTGGTCAAGGCGTTCGTCAGCCGGGCGCTGACTGATCGCTTCACAGTGCATGTAAAAATACAGCGCGAACAGCGACCTCATGCGGCCACCATGGTGCATACTTTGCATAATATTCATGCAAACCAGTGCACCGATAAAGTGTGTCCCGTACACTGCTCTTGTGAGTGGTCTCCCAGTACAATCTACATGTTATAAACTCTGTCCACAGTAGACCCTGTCACCTGTGGCCTGTTTCCCCTAGCATGCTCTCCAGAAGGATTGTCGCATCGTTGTCTATGTACGGCTGATGCAGCCAGGCAGAGGTGTAAGTCATGAGCACGTCGCGGCTGCTAGCATGAGCTACATCCCCTAGGATGGCCTTCTTGAGAGACAGTTCCTTGCTGTACATATCCCCTAGACGGGAAGATGTTTCCCCTGAACAAAGAAAAGAATGTATGGAAAATCAAAATATGTTTTCAGCAGGCCTCGACCTTAATGCTAGCCCGGTGTACGATGTCTAGTAAAAACTGCTGCAGGCTAGTAAGAGGTGCTCTTTAACTTGCCTGGTTGGCTAGTAAAGAAATGCAGTCACGACAAGGTATTCGAACATTAGGGTTACCATGCACCAGCTATAGTACTTTGGGAAATGAGTAGTATCACGCAGGTACGCTATAAATTTTGCTTTCTAAAAAAATCTCCTTCCTTTGCATTTGGTTTGTTTATTAACGCTGCTGAGGCTAAGCGCCGTGACTTCAAACGTTGTGCACATGCCGTATTGTCCACTTCAGATCCTGAGCTTGATGATTCTAACGACACATAAGATGATTATGACTTCACACACGATGAGGCAGAGCCATCAGCAAATGATCCAGGTTCTACAATCAGTGACACTGATTTTTAAATGGAAACTTATTTGTGTGTACCTTTCCTAAATCATTTAGTTAATGAGACTTGTCACAATGTGGCCATTAAATGAGCGTTACATGTTACAGTCTACAATATCCAGTGTGCTAGTGAAAATTCCTGCAGGCTAGTAAAACACTTTGTTAACTTGCCCGGTGGGCTAGTTGAAAAAAGCTTAAGTCGAGGCCTGGTTTCCAGTCACTGTTGATACAATTCATTCATTCAACTCATTTGTGAGCATGGTGAGTGAAACTTGCTAAGCAGAACAAAGATATTTGCTGATTCAATATGTCATGAAATTGTTTTCAAATGTCACATGGTTTGAGGGTGGATAGTTGATATAAGCTCCTGGAGGTATTGGAAGTTGACAAATCACTTCTTAAGGTGAGTGAGACGGAACTAGCTTGTCGACTTCCAATACCGAGGGGAACTAATATAGACTTTCCCCCAAAATAAACCATGTTATATTTGTTTTCCTATACCCGATACATATATGTATTCACCAACTTTCTTCCAGTTATGCATCAGTTAGCTTGGCAAAACCGTGCCATATGCTTGGATTTTTTTATGTAGCTAGAACGATGTACACGCGTGTGCACTATCCCCGTGCGATAGTTCAACGATTGTTAGGTAAATCTTGGTTGGTAATCAATACTTGATTCTACAAGGTGAGTAAAAAAAAACGAAACCCAAATGTCGAGAATATTGTTTTATTGAATTTCTTCGTGTAGCACTTTCAAAATCTAGGATATAAAAGCCCAATTCATAAGCTTTCTTTTAGTACAAGAATCATTCAAAACACTCATATACTTTTCAAGTTGGGGAATTTTAAACACAACCACCATTTTAAGGTTCTGTCCACGGATCACACAAATGGTGTACATTCTTTCAGCAAAACGAAAACAATTCACACACATCCCTATGTAATTAATAATAATAATAATTTGGGAGGCTAATCATCCTTACTCGCAGCTGGTATGCTGAATTGCGAAGGACGCGGCTAAAACGTGGTCGGGCCACTGGCACGTAAAGGCGCCTATGGCTGCCGGCCACATCGACTCATATATGACCACGGAGCACAGCCTGAGGTTGAAAGTGTTTGATTTTTCCGGAGGGAGGAAAACCGGAGGGCCCGGAGAAAAACCCTCGTGGCACAGGAGAGAACCAACGCAAAACTCTACTCACATGTGATCCGCGGCCAGGATTCGAACCGTGGTCACCTTGGTGAGAGGCGAGCCCTTTACGCACAAGCCACCCATGCCACCATGCCAATTTCCCTTTGTATTGCTGAAAGAACACTGAAGTTATGAATTGGGCTTTCATATCCTAGATTTTTTAAATGCTATGCAGAACTTCCCTAAAACAATGGTCCCAACATTTGGGTTTCTTTTTTTTTTACTCACCCTGTATGTGCTGAGCAATATTTCCTGATTAGCAGTTTTGGTTTTTGAAAACAAGAAGCTTTGTGTTGGTACTTGAAACTTCTTCAAACTCATCCAAAATACACTTTCGTGTGGAGAAACTGTGGCTGTTTAACTAATTGACGATCTCGGCATTGCTTGTGCTTGGCATACTTCTGCCCACAACTGGCTCATCAAAAAGATTTTCTGGCGACTTTAGTCTGTTATTAGCGGTCTTTCAATTCTTGCACATTAAGATTATCTCGGAAATGCTTTGACAAGATAGAATACTGGGTAACTTACAGAAGAGGTGGACTGGCCATGTTTGGAAGATTGGCTGTTCATCTTCGTCACTCCTGGAAAGACTTTTCTCCATTTCACTGACACCTTGTAGATGTTTAGTGATGGCGGCCATCTTATTCACAAGTTTCTCCTACGGAAACAAAAGTGGAGACAATCATCAAAGTAAGCTTCTTTTTTCTTTTGTACAAGAAATGAGCTAAGGAGCATGTCAAGCAAACAAGTTTGGTTTAACTAAACCTCTTTGTGGTTCTTATGCAGACCCAGTACATAATAAGTCTCTTGTAACAACAAGAGGGACATGCATTCAAGTGGGAATTTAGAAACAAAAACGAGGCAACTCCAAACCACACGAGACATTTGTACAGTATTTTTCAATTTGTAACGGCATTCATGAGAAGTAAAAACCGACTAAATCAGCGGATACAAGGAAAAAATGCTTACCTAGGGGAGCATCTTAATATTTTCCAAAACACCCTGCTTTGAATAACATGTATGGCAGAGTTGGCATATGACAAACATCTAGACATTTGCTTGACAATGTTCAACAAGGCTCTGCTCAACATGACAAAATTGCAATCAAAACTGCACCATTTCCTAACTTCAAACATTTCAAAACACCCCTAATAAGGTTCATCAAAACATCATGGACCACAGCATGCATGTGTGCACATATCACACTGCACAACTAAATCAGTTCATAGCAACTCAGATTGTTGTCTGTCCAAAATCTGGTCAAACTTTTTTCATATGACAGAAAAAAGAACAACCAGGATTATTTTAATTGGAAACCGAATTGCATGTAGATAGAGGCCAATATGATGTCACATAGCCCTCGAAAGCTTAACAGCACCGTTTGCATTTATCCCCTCTCCTGAGGCACTCTCCTGAAGACGGTCAGAGCATACTGATCGGAACGTCGAGTTTATACCTCTGGTTCTTTTCAGAACCATTCTCTTAGTTGAGAAATTATTTGCACATGGTGTTTCCGCAAACCTTTCATTATTTAGTATCTCCACCATGCAAAGCCTCAAATCTTACGAATTATTATCAAAAAGCTAGCTTGGATTAAATATTGTACTGGTACTAAAACACCCTGTGACATTATTCCGTCTGGCTTGCTGTCATTTAGGACAGAAATGAAGACGATTTGATCAGTCAATTGACTGATTTTTGGAAATAAAGAGTTCTATTGACTAAATGGTGCTTGGTGATCGAAAGCTTGTGCATGGTCTTTCACTGTTTTCTCGAAATGTGTAACATCCATTGAGCTGACACTTCAACAGGTTAGGTTCTGAACATTCTTCTTTGGAGTCTGAGTGGTGGTGTTGTTGGAAACGAAGAAATGCATGAATAGCCAATGATTAAGTGCAATTAAGGATGATGTAGCCAGACCCTACCATTTTATAGTAGATGCCAGTCAGTTCAGCGCAGAGTTCCTCCATTCCATCTGGCATGTGTGTCGTTGTAGTGCCTTGGGAATCAGTCTCCATATTTGTGACCTTATCTGTCATAAAAGCAACTTCTGAGGACTCCCTGCAAATAAGAATGAGATAAAATACCCAATATACAAACAGAAAAACCCTTATTATCTGCAAGTTGTTATCTTTGAAACCCTTCTTATAGTAGTCTAGGGGCTAGACGTTGTTATGGTTTGATACGCGATAACCCGTAGCCGCGATAACCCGCAGCCGCAAGAGGGCATTCACGACCAACCAATACCATCCACGAACCGTCAGCAAGAGGGCGTTCTCACGACCAACCAATATCATCCACGAACCGTCAGTAACTACGTCTAGGCCAATTCCTAAAATCTCCCCCGAAAAATGGTGGAAATTAGTGCGCATACGCGACTTCTGCAGGCAATTACGGTCCATTTTCAGTCCAACACATACTACACACAAGACCAGTGAAATTGCACCAAAGTCTTGATGCATCATTTATATTATTGAAGAAATTTGAGAGTTTGCTTTGGAACTACTATGACATTTTTGAATGCGCGCTGCATATATTAGGCCAAACAGGTGCGCGTGCATTACACAAACAATACGAATTGGCCTAAACGTTGTTACTGACAGTTCGTGTATGATATTGGTTGGTCGTGATAACGCCCTCACACGGCGGCAGGTTATCGCGGCCGCGGGTTTTCGCACATCAAACCATAACAACGTCTAGCCCTTAAGCTATTCATATGGTAACATTTGTGATGCGATCAGGCTACATGAGTCGTTTGTTGGGAATTTTCATTTGGAGATTCAGGCCAAAATAGGGCCACTTCATCACATCACTTCATCACATCTCTTGGTGTTCCAACTTCCATAATTTTTAAACTAAAGATGGTACACGCATGAGGTTTTCACAGCAGTAATGCTGAGATTGTGCTCTTTTCAAATCTGTAAAAAAAAAAAAAAATGACCAGGGTTGACAAACGACTCATTTAGCTTAATCGCATCACATTTGTCCTTGATTTCATGCGAGAATGAAAGGAGGCCATTACGAATGGGGGGGGGGGGGAGAAAATGTATCAAACTGAAACTGACATGTGATGGCTGCCAAGCACCCAGAAAAGGTGGTCTACCCCCCCCCCCCCCCCCCCCCCCCCCAACAAATGGCACTCTGGATCTGTTAGTGAACTTTTGAATAACAATTGAAGGATGTCTACAACCAAACGAGTTAGCCAAGTGCCTTCCTTAGCACTCACTGGGCCTGTAGTTTGGCGGTCACTATCCTGTTCACCACCGCCAAGCCCTTGTCGTTCAACCCGTCCCACTTATCAATGTAGTTGTGCCAGTCGGCGCTGTGGTCTTTGATAATCCTGGCGCTTCCCTGTAGAGGTGTCGACGGTGACTTTGAAGGGACGTGGACTGCCATGACTGCAGCGATACATTTGAGTGAAAAGAGACGACCAAATGTTAAAACGGCGTTGTATTAAAAAGTCCTAGTCTTGAACCAAAAGTGTCATGTAATATCATCCTCATGATAACCAATGCTTTTTTTCCATGCTTGCTTTATAATAGATATTGATATATTGTATACCATGGTGTCATGATATGTCATCATCAATGATCAATTATCAATGTAACTACATGTACTATGTAGGCTAACTTGAAATTTCCAGCTTTCTGGGCTCATGACATGGGGAGATTCGCCAGGAAATCTCCCCATGTCGTGAGCCTAGAAAGCTGGAAATCTCAAGGTATATGTAGGCCTACTATTAAAAAGTAAGAGTAATTCTCGGATCCGAACATCCGGGTACTTTGACCGGAAGTGGCGCATTGCTAATCCAATGCCAGGTGCAAACAATGGCACACCCTAGCAACCAGACGAACTTCTTGTTTTCACCCACCGCATAGGTCGTTGTTAAGGTCAGCAACCGGAAGTGACATCACCCTGGATCCGAGAATAGAAACATTGGCCCAATTATGCGGCCAAGAATAAGATGCTGCTTACTGGATACAGAGATAGTCCAGTATCTCGGCCACAGAATGGGGCTTGAGTGACGCTCGGCCTAGCCCCATAAAGTGGAATTCCTCCAAGGTGATAGCAGCATTATGTGAAAAATATGTTTTGAGGAGATCGAAATTTGGACTTGTTTCACTTGATATGGAAGAAACTTACCTGGTTTATAGGCCAAAAAAAAAAAACTCGGTCTCTGGTCAGCGTGCGCATCGATTTTAATCATGGGCGTCAACCTTTTTTTTTTTTTTCAAATTAACACGGAAGCTACAACAGCGCCCTCTATTGCCGTGCCTCCTCAAATGTTTGTACCAAGGAGCACCAAGGAATGTGGAAATTGCACCAAGGCAAATGATGGAGGACACCAATGTATAATGAGGACACAAAAAAGCAAAATAGTACCCACCTTGTCTGTACAATACAAGCTTGAAAAAAAAAAAGCCACCCAAAAAAACCCCAAAAAACACGTCACCGCATCAATTCCGGAACTTCGGTCTGACCAGAAACCGACTATTTTTTTTTTTTGGCCTTAATAATAACCAGGGAAAATCAATAGGTCAATTGTACATGACCCATTAGAACTACTCAACAGCTCAACTAGACCATGCCTTTCTAGTTTTCTAGAACAAGTAGTAGCAATGACCCATGACCTCGAGAAAACAATACTGCAGTCATTTTTGGACAGACACTCTGCTGAAAATTACAGGATAACTAGACAACTTCAGGAACGGAATTCAATTTGTCCAGGTTATTAACCAAGTAGATATTTCCATACTGAATATCAAGTGAAAAAAAAATTAAAATTCTGATTTTGATTTCCTCTTTAAAGGGACACTGCGTGCTGGAAAGTGCCCAATTGTGCTACAAAATGTGTTTTGAACGAAATGATGGTAATCGGAAAGAACATTCATAAGTAAGATATAAACATCCACACAACCATCCTTTAAAAACTGGGCATTTTTGTGTTGTTTCGTGCGAAAATGACTTTCGGGGTCCACTTTTGTTAGCTTCACTTTTGCGACAACAAAAAGTGGGGCTGTAGACTACTGTGCTACTGCTAGTTGTGATTTCAGCCGTAAAGTGTTCGCCTTTTGCGGACATGTAAGAAACCACATTTGTGTATTGGTACTGTGTGTAATATTTACAACGTGTATCATACATTGAATGAAAACGACAGGAAAAACGTATGTGTACTCCGATCCGTTGAGTTTAAACAACCAGGGTTTTTTTCATCTTTTCTCGGGAACGGTAAGAGTAAGACATTAGGTTGGTTTCCCTTCAAGTTCAATCAGATGTTTGATAAAAGGAAAAGTAAACAATCCAAAGCATGACATTTTCGGGAATTTCAGGACGCAGAGCCCCTTTATCTCCACGACATTGCCTGGGCATGCTGGGCTAGGCTGGGGCTAGCTTGAGTAACTCCAGCTGATGTTCCATATTCATTCACATGGAACATGTCAGCTGGAGTTACTCAAGCTAGGCTGGGGCCTGTATAGCCCCATAAAAAAATGTGGACTATTTACTGGACTGCCTCCGTAAACATAGGCCACACATCCACATGTACAAAAACGTGTCGACATTGCCAAATTTTGATTTTCACATTTAGGCTTACTTTGTAGGTTTTTTTTGCTTTAGAAGCATTCTCACCCTCTATATAGGCTATTCAGAAAGTGCTGCCTTTTTCAGATGTCTAATTTTTGTGAAATTTCATGTTGAAATTTTGATACGCAAACGTGTGCAAATGTATCTGGAAATTTCACGAAAAATGGACATCTGAAATAGTCAGCACTTTCTGATTAGCCTATATAGAGGGTGAGAATGCTTCTAAAGCAAAAAATGCTTCTAAAACAAAGTAAGCCTAAATGTGAATATCAAAATTTGGCAATGTCGACACGTTTTTGTACATGTGGATGTGTGGCCTATGTTTACGGAGGCAGTCCAGTAAATAGGTCACATTTATGGGGCTGGGCCTGTAGGCCTACATTTGTTTTTTGTAAATCGAACACTGCATTCTCACGTTCACATCCCGTGTCAGCTTGCTCTCCCGATCCTTCAGAAACCTGAATCTTTTTCTTCTTCTTAGATATTTTCCCCCGCCCCCTTGTATCACCATCAGCACCAAAATTAGCCATTTCGCAGCGTGCGATTCACAATTCTACCTCCATGGATAAAGTTGCATGATTTTGCCATCGCGGAGCGCGCACATGTCGGGTCCTACTAAAGCGCGTCAACAAGCGTCAACAAGCGTCAACAAGCGTCAACAAGTTTTAGTAGTCGTTAAGTGCGCGTCAACAAATTTTGTATAGGCCTTTGAACAATAAAAACAGCTTTATATGGTAGAAAAAGCAATAATGAACATCTTCTGCATATCAATTAAAGTTAAAATTATTTTAAAACTTGGTTTTTTTAACGCGAAATGTACGAAGAATTTGTCGATAAAAGTAGGCCGCCATCTTGTTTGGATGGCGCTGTAGACTTCGCGCATGCGTAGTATGGCTCTTTACACTTCACGCATGCGTAGTACGGCTAGCTACACATAAACAAGATGGCGGCCAACTTTTATCGACAAATTCTTCGTACATTTCGCGTTAAAAAAACCAAGTTTTAAAATAATTTTAACTTTTAATTGATATGCAGAAGATGTTCATTATTGCTTTTTCTACCATATAAAGCTGTTTTTATTGTTCAAAGGCCTATACAAAATTTGTTGACGCGCACTTAACGATTACTAAGACTTGTTGAAATTGTTGACGCTTGTTGACGCGCTTTAGTAGGACCGCACATGTCATGCATGTCACACAAAATTGCGAAGCGCCCTCTATTGTCCCCTTTTCGCCCACAACAAGGAGTCGATATATGGCGCGTACGCGGGCGGCGCGCGTAATTTTTATTCCTAGGAGGGTTAGGGGCAATGTCATGAATAATTCATGTTTATCCATGAGAATGGACAATGACATCAACAGCATTGTTGTTAGTTACTCAACTAGTTACAATACATTAAAGCATTTTAAAGAACACTTGTCGTCGAGCTACCACACAGTAGCCTAGTGGATAGCAAGATGAGCTATGGATACAAAGATCCCTGGTTCGAATCCACGTCGTCGCTGCTCATTTTCATCAGTTATTTTTCTTCTCCAAATTTATCACCGAGATAATTTTAAATTAAGGGGAAAATAGAACGAGAACCTAAGTCTTGCAATGATTCAAAGGAAAAACTGAATTAAAAAAAAAAAATTACGCGGGCGGCGCGGCGGAGGCCGCTAAAAGTAAGACGGCTACGGGTTCGAGTACGCGCGTGGCGAATTCTCGTTGTCCAGTAATGATCCCGTCTGTTAAGTCCGTAAAGATTAATGCCCACTCAGCCGTGACGAGATCGTCCAATTAAGGCTGTCGTCCTAATAACAAAATGTTGTTATTATTGTTATTATTAGGCCAAAAAAAAAAAAAGTCGGTCTCTGGTCAGCGCGCACGTCGATTTTAATCATGCGCGTCGATCTTTTTTTTTCCAAAATGTTCCGCGGTAGCTCCAACAGCGCCCTCTATTTCCGCACCTCCTCAATTTTTTGTATACCAAAGAGCACCAAGGAATGGGAAATTGCACCAAGGCAAATGATCGAGAGCACCAAGGCAAATTATGGAGGACACCAATGTACATGAGGGCACCAAAAAAGCAAAATAGTACCCCACCTTGTCTGTACAATCCAAGCTTGAAGAAAAAGAAAAAAAGAAAAAAAAAAAAGAAAAAAAGCCGCGTGGCCGCGTCAATTCCGGTGTGGAAGGTAATTCTGTCCCCCGGTAAAAGTGTCCGGGGGGACAGAATTACCTAGGTAAAAGTGTCCGCCCTGGCCCGTTAATTCTGTCCCCCTCCAGGTAATTCTGTCCCCTCCAGGTAATTCTGTCCCCCAGGTTTTTTTGTCCCCCTCTTTTGAAACCCGGAAGGTTATTGTTTTGATGAATTCACTCTACAAGGTATACATTTTGGACTTTTAGTCTGCCCTTCATGAATATAAAAAATAATTAATTTAGTCTATTACATGATACGTGAACACAATGTTTCGAAGTCTATCGCGATTCTACCGCGATAGGTCAACACAGCGGCGATCACTTTCTGAGCACATTTTGCAGCCATGCCCCGTGGCCTAATGGCGATGGCCCTCGTCTCATTGATAGTATGATACAACGTCTCCTTGGATTGGTCTGTGTTCCCATCATAGCGCGTAACGAAATATCCTATTGGACGAATTTCCATTGTAGAGGGAGACGCATTATGTACACGTTATAATCACTGCCTCAAATCTTGCAGCATGTATGCATGGCGCGTGCGACACGCTGCTGCTCTCAGTACATACTGCATGGGCACACATTTACCAGGGGGACACTTTCACCGTTGGGCAGGGGGACATTTTTACCTGGAGGGGGACAAATTTACCTAGGTAAAAGTGTCCCCCGGACACATTTACCAGGTCACGAGCCGGTAAATGTGTCCGGGGGGACACATTTACCAGGGGGGACAGAATTACCTGTCACACTGGAACTTTGGTCTGACCAGAGACCGAATATTTTTTTTTTGGCCTTATCATTATTATTTAGCCGTGCATTAAAATCATTATCTGCATGCATGGGTTACACAAAGAAATATGTATATTATGTGCTGTTAACCTTTCGTTTTTTATCTTTTCATTTAGTATATAAAAGTATGCGTATGTATTTTGAATGAACAACTTTTAACTGAGTGGCGGGATACAGACCTAGAAAGTAATGTATGCTTAACGGCAGTTATCAAGATGGAGTGTGCGTGCGTGCGGTATCTCTTGAGAATTGACACATCTGCACAGTGTACTTCCCGAGTAGTATAGGTGCTCACGGTTTTGATCCTCTCTGCTTGGGGATCTTCGTCTCGGAAATCGGAACGTACGGTAGGTAGTGTTTCGTTCATTTTGTAAAGAGGGCCTGTTTAATTTATGCGTCACATAAGATGGAAATAGGCCTACGTAATGTAGTTAAATTAGAGATAATGTTTACCAGGTTCGGGAATCACCACCTCTTTTCTTTCATGTTGCGCACATGACATCATTACGTTTTACTTATTGCAGTGTCAGTGTATTATAGGCTAGTTCGTCACTGGGGGAAACAGGTGAAATTGGATCTACAACGATGAAATTTGGCTTTCCCGGCGCGTATAAATGATACACGTGTATTACGCTTTAAGGATGCAGCTTATTCCAACATGTGAAAACAAATAAAAAATGGAAAGTGGAATATTCAGCATAAAACGTTTGAAATCCACCCTAGCCTTGACCCATTTCTCACATACTATTTCCTGTGCATGAATAAGACCAAACAAGCAAATAATTTGATGAAAAGTGCACTTGATTTGTCTTCCACCAGATCGCAAGATGATCATTCTTCTCCTCTCTATTGCCTATGTGGCGGCAGCCGATCTTGCCCCACTTCACACTCATACCACAGATGCGGTGGCAGGTCGCTTCATAGTCGCTCTCAAGGCAAGTATTACTCCTTTATTGTAACCTGTCCCCTCTGGCAATCGAACGGCAAAACAATTTTTTTAAATAATCAGCAAGACGCAACGCATGCAATGTCCAATTGAAGTGCAGCATGTAAATAAAACCCTGAAATGAACTTATCAAAATTTGAATTTGAACTTAGGTGGCCTATCAGTTAATGTTTCGTGACTTTTGTTACTGCCGGTTTTTATAATTACATGTACGTATCTTCCTGGTGTGGTATAACTCTCAATAAAATTCGTTTTCTTTCTGGAAGGCTGAAAGCCCAGATGTTGATACTTTCCTAGGCAGCTTGATAACAATGGATGGCATCACCATGACGAGGACATACCGCGATGCAGCTCTTAAGGGCTTTGCTGCTGGCTTGACCGACGACGCTCTTCAGATGGTAATTCGAATTACATCATGATTATTTTCAAATGCATCATTTTCAAGTCAGATAATAATGAATGGACACCTAATATGGAGCTCCGTAAATGGGATCACCAGCTTTAACACCGGACCTGAGGCCTATAAAGAGTAAAGTTATGGGCTTGTATATAAAAATGACTTGAAATTACTCCGTCTGACACTGTTTGAAGTTACTAAGACAGCATATGTTTTTTTAATCTGATAAAAGTGATTTTCATGTGTTTTAAAAATCTTCACTTAAAAAAAACATCATAGTTGGAGCCTTGATTTTCTTTTTACAATATTGAGAGTTTCGTTCAAAACCAGTATTCTGACGAGGAAAAAAATCTTTATTACAGTTACGGGAGCAGCCGGAAGTAGGTTACGTGGAGCAGGATTCCATCGTCCGTGCTGACTGGGTAGCATCCTGGGGTCTGGACCGGGTAGATCAGAGACATCTCCCACTGGATAATAAGGCATTCTTCCAAGGTCAGAATAAGATTTACTCATTTTCTGCCTGCACCTGAGGAGTGGAGCGTGGTCCGGTACGGTGTGTTTCATTGTGCGAGACGAAGGTGGACTCAGTGGAGTCATGCGAAAACCTGAACAGCACTCCTATAGTTACAGAATGTGTACCGTACCACCCCACCCCACCAACCTCACCCTATCCCCATCCCCCATTTTTTTTCCAAATCTCTAACGGTTGGCAACTCTCAGGTTAAAAAAAAACTACACTGCATATCTGCCCGTTGTGGTCTGTCGGCCATTCATAAACTGGACAGGCGACGCCCGTTCCCTCGGCACTACTAACCCTCACACATCAACGGTCGCATCGGCCTTTGGCCAGCCATATGTGACAAGTTTGTAAATAACCTTATGGTAGCGGCATCTTAGAGGGAATATTTTGTTACTTTAATTTCAACAAAATCAATGAGTGTACAATAGGTTAACTCATGCCTATCCCAGTAAAACAAAGGCATTGTCCTCTTAAGATTGCTGCTACGCATGGGACAGTTGCTCGGAGACGCGAGATCCTTGATTCAAAATGAAACTTCAAGCAATATTGCTATACCTGTCAGAGTTGCAGCATGTGGCTAAAATTCGAAGCTACGTCATACTTTTGTCTACTGCATATTTGTTTTGTTGACAATGCTTATGACTGGCACTGCTGATGCATGGCCGGCTGGTTATGCAAATTCATGTAACCAGCCAGCCATTTTAACCATGACCGAAATGTTGTTAAAGGCAGTGGGATCATTTGCATTTATCCCAAAAAGTAACCTACCAAATAATTATCAAAAAGGTTACTTGGATTAAAGATGAACTGGTACTAAACACCCTGTGAAATTGTCCGTCAAGCAAGCCTGCTGTCATTTAAAAAAATAAAGAAATTTAGGTGATTTCCAATGATCAGCCAATTTGACTGATCGTTGGAAATAAAAAGTAATATTAACGAAATCGAGTTTCGTGATCAAAAGGTTGTGCATTGCATGGTTTTTACTTTTTCTCGAAAAGTGTAATATCCACTGAGCTGAAACTTCAACAGGGTAGGTTTGAAACATTCTTCTTTGGATTTTGAGTGGTGTTATTATTGGAAAGTGAAATACATGAAATGCAAATAATGATCCATTATGCCTTTAATAATATATTCCATATACGTTAGAGTTGTCAGTGCTTTGTTTTTATTGATTTATCTAAAGGTAATGGCGCGGGTGTGAATGCTTACATCATCGACACGGGTATCTTCCCCGACAACAGATTCTTCTCCGACCGTGCGTACGTCGCCTACGATAATGTGGGTGACGGGAAAGAGGTAACATAAATTAGGCAGGGTTCCGATAAGGCAAGACAATCATGGATCTGGCCACAGGGGTTGGCGGGGTTTTTTTTCTCTCAAATTTCTGCTCGCGATGTCTACTTGCAGCCCAATTCGCTGGCAATTAGAATCCACTGTTCTTTTTCCAACGACTTGTTTCCGAGTGTGTAAGTGTTTGAAGGATGGCCATAAATTTTGAGGTTACACTCGATCTCGGTTTCCGTATGTGTTTAGCGCTAAGAACAACTGAATTATGTCAGTGGACATGTTGCTTTTTGTTTTGCAGTTTCTACCTACAAACAAAACTGGGATCACCGGAGATTTATTACAACACAATATGCCTATTTACTGAGCAATTTTGGTACTTTCGCCTAATAATAAAATAAGGTATAAATGCATGGCTCTCATCACAACTCGTTTTACCACACGGCATGAAAATATTGGATTTGTTTTTACTTTTCATAATGAAGCAATGATAATTCTGTGATTATACCATGCGAAATCAACTTATCTTAACAGATGGTTCAAGCACTGGAAAACGTCAAGGAACGCTACGCGCCATATTTCGTGGACTTTGTTTCTCTATCTTCATATCAGTGTTTTCAGCGCAAATTTGGACCTTGCGCAAAATTTATGCAAGTTTAATGTCCTAATTCATAAGATAAGCATCTCAGGAATAAGGACAGTAAGTTTGGGCGAGGACTAAATTTGCGCTGAACATTGCCACTCAGCACGTGTATATATCATTGGAAATAAACGGGAATTAGATGGCCAATAATACAAACGTGTGATTGCGGAGATAATACAAATATATATATTTTTTTGAAAAATATTCAACCAAACCTAGTTCAGAGCTGGGGCACATCCTGCAGAATTTTGGTAGTTTGGATGGCCGTTTGAGGCTGATGTTTAATTCACCATGTTTAAAAGGTCACAGATTCCAAGTGGTCTCAAAATGTTTTTTTCGTAGAACATTTTTTTTTTACACTACCGCTGCAGCTCATACAACGATGTTCTCAAAACTTGCACGATGCCATAATAATCTGAACATGTTTTTCAGTTCCCCGTGCACAGTCGAGCTACACAATTTGCCAGGTAACACAAAGTATCGATTATTTTAGCATTTTGATAAATCTGTTGCAGGGAATCGATTGTAACGGACACGGTACCCACTGTGCTGGGACAATAGGAGGTGAAGTATTCGGTATCGCCAGGGAGGCTTCTCTGCACGGCGTTCGGGTACTCGATTGTGCTGGTAGCGGCTCCACGTCAAGCATTCTTGACGGTACTGCACCTCCTAAGAAATTATTTTGCCCTTTCACAGAGAATCGGTCCTATAATAGAAGAAAAAGAATTGGATTCTTAAACTAATCTCTCCATGTCCCACTTGCCTTCACTGTCAGTCTTTTTTACTGACATCCTTTCTGTTGTTTTAGAGAATTACTGCATCTGCATTCCGGAGCGAATTTCCATATTCACCAGCAACATTGGCGTTATGATATTATGCTGTAAATCTCGGTGTAGCTGTTTCGGAACAAAAGTTGCAAGAATATATTTTCTTTTTGCTGGGGTCAAATTATTCTTTCCAGTTCTGTTGGTAATTGAATAGATGTCGTTCAGTCAAACAGCAACCTTTAATATACTGACTGGTACACTTGAGATATTATTTAAAAGAAAATGGTATATACGAGCGTTTTTAAAATTCCGGTTTTCTTTTCCGAACGAATTTAAAAAGGAATATAATGTCCTGTAACAAAAACATTTGCTTGTTTGTTCAATTTTAAATATTGGTTTTTCGTGGCGCGCTCTAGTTCAAAAATTGCGCACATTATTCAGAACGAATTAGGAGCGTCCCGCTGATAATTCCGAAAAGTCGAAATTGATTACTTGCCATTGGGCCGATTTTTATCGTGCGATGTCTCATTGGAAAGCTCATAACTAATGAAATGCTAGACAATTATCATTTCAATTTTAAAATCTTGTATTTTTTCAAGGTGCCACACCCAAAAAAGCACGTAGTCACCAACTTTAAGTATAAGAGCCTGAAGTAACACAACAGCTTTTGGTGTCAGAAAAATAACATGGGCACTTTACATATAGTGGTTAAATTAGGATGTTCCTCGCTTTCTTTCTTATTTTCTGGTAACACTCTCTGCGTCACGTGCTATCTTTTGGTATTCGGCGCACATACCCAAAGCTTGGGAATTGGTTACCATTCGCTCCCGTTTAATCATAACGTGCTTGTACACTGTCTTCTTTGTTTCTCCATAAATAGTTCTTATTCGGATAATAATGTACCACTAACCCCAAAACATTTGTCTTAACATTACACTGTCGGCTGGCCCAATAAGCAGGAGTTAACGGACATTTAGCTTCTATAAACATCCGGTCATTAGTAATTGCTATATACTGAGGTCCGGGGATGGATTTTGTCATTTTTCAGGGATGGATTTTGTTGCTAAAAATGCCAAGCACCCTGCTGTGGCATCAATATCTCTGCGATCTCCGCAATCCGAAGCCATGGAGGAGGCCGTCAGGAGAATGAACGACGCGGATGTGACTGTCTCAGTGTCGGCTGGTAACAGTGCCGGGGACGCGTGCAACCAGTCGCCTGCCAGTGCTAAGGAGGTATGGGTGTTTTTCGCTCGTCCCCAATCCCCATATATTTACTCTTCGAAAACATATAACTTAACCTCCGCATCATAACGAGTGCAGTGAGGATTACAAAAACAAGTCTCTTGCTGATTCTCGATTTCTTGAATGTTCAAATGGTGTAGGCCTACCAAAGGCCCTTCCTTTGCAGGACCCAACGGATGGAAAGACGCGTGGTATTAGTAAGTAAAAGTCAAGTCTGTCAGGAGCCAATGAGGCCCATCAGGCCGGTGTTTATCTCCGGTTTCCTTGGCATGAAACGACTGAGAATATTTCTACTCCCCCTGAATGGGATGCTCGTCCATCGCAGGTTACTCCCCAGCTAATGCTGGTACCCATTTTTACTTCTGGGTGGAGAGAGGCAACTACTGGGGGTAAAGTGGCTTGCCCAAGGACACAATGCATGACCAGCAGCTGGATTCGAACCCCTGACCATCTGATCATGAGTCACGAACCCTAACCACACTCCCCATGATGTGCGTGGTGCAGTAAACTGTATTTTCTGTATAGTTTTTCTTCTTAGCCAGTTACCGTTACTGTTGTAATAGGCCTATATGCACTGCTATAACCTTTTTGTTGCCGCCTAGTGAACTAGTGGCAGTGGCGTAGCCAGGAATTTTTCAGGGGGGGGGGGGGGCGCCGGGGAGCTGGAACATTTCATGGGGGGGGGGGGGCGTCATGTAGATCAATGCATTTTTTTTTCGAAACTCAAAATCTGACTAGTGGCATGGAGATAGAGCGTTTGGCTTATGATGGCTACATCAATGTTCAGTTCTTGACTCTGTGGACGTTTTCTCCGCGTCTTTGAAAAGAAATAAGTTGTGTAAAATGTACTCCAGGTGCATGCGAATGCTTATGGTCACCAAACGTGCGCAGCGAGATTCGCTGCCAAAGTTAATTTTTGGTGATTTCGCGCGCAAATATACTTGCCAAGACGTCCAGCATTCCCACTCGTTTCAGTTTTTAAATTGTCAGTGAAGAAGAAATACGAATTTTCTTCTGACTCATGGCTTCACTCAATCTGATTATTAGGCGATCACGGTGGGCGCCACCGACATTGAGGACCAGAGGGCGTCCTTCTCCAATTACGGGAAGTGCGTTGACCTGTTTGCTCCCGGCGTGGACATCCCCAGTTTGTGGATGGGTGAAGACTTCGCAGTCAACATCATCAGTGGAACCTCCATGTCCTGTCCACACGTCAGTGGTAGGCCATCAAAGTACTTATACCCCTTATTTGGGTGGGTTTTCAACCCCTGAGAAAATAAACCATTATAGCGATCGGATTTCTGAAACCCAAACTGCATAAACAAAACATAATAGGCAAACTAAACTCATTACGGCCCCTTGACGTCGCACGTCACATCCGAGAACAAGAATCACAGTGCAGTTTTACAATTTTCCTTTTGACCGATCCTGTCCCATGAAACCTCAAAAGAAGTGAGAGGTCACCAGTGCCGAAAGATAGCGCGGTTGGTGGTTTGTGAAAATTAATTTTCGATTGTCAACCGTTTCCCATACAGGAGCTGCAGTGATAGCCCGCGGCAATGATCCAAGCCTGAAAGCGGCTGAAGTGAAGGCGAAGATTCTGAAGGACGCCACACCCGATGTAGTCAAGAATCCTGGCCCAGATTCTCCCAATCTCATGCTGTACATCCCGTAGTCAGCACGGTAAAAACCGATGTAAAATAAAAACAATAATACCGCTTGGCGATTGATCTAGGGTGGGCCAGCTGGCCTACACTTTGCTGATCACTGCAGGAAAATCCGAGCTGATTGAAGACGTATCCCCCGATTCACTCAGCTAAATTAAAGCAAGTTCGATCGAGCACACTAGCTTGGTCGACCAGTGGTTGATTTGTGACGAAATTCATGCCTGCATGCACATTAACAGGAACGCGCGAAACCCTTGAGCAAACTGATAGTTCAAATTCAATATAACAACGTGTTGCTCCGGCAAGTATGGAAACACTGCGCCGACACAGAGCAGGGAAACTCGAAATTAGGTTGACATGTAAAAACCAATTCAGATAAGAATTGGGTTTATGCCTCACAATTTTTAGTTTCAACCATACGAAGCAAGCGCAGTGAGTTGCCATTTAAGCACACCTAGTGGCCGAGATATATAGATCATTTCACTTCAATGCACCCAATGACCCAATTCACGTACATGTCATAATCGGTATAGGAATCGGTCAACAAATTGAATTTGAGCCAAATGTGCAACGTTCCTCCGTGATTCAAAGAACCAAATTTCAAATGGACTGGCCTTGTTGCTTTAACTTGGAAGTTTACAAACAGGGAATGCGAATGACACAAAGTAAAGCCATGTATACCTATTCATGCAGTAACCTGTACTTTTGTTTTCTTGTGTTTTCTTTTTGCCAGATCGCAAGACGGCAGCTTCTACTGCGGTAATTGGAGTCAATTTTAGAACAGACCACCAAATAAAAGACAGATTACCACATTGTATTGACTATTTACATCCCATCTTGTATAAAAACAAAATAGCGTTTAATGGTCACATAACGCCGACAAACGATGGACAATTGTTTAACCCTTTCTCCAACACTGTATGACTACTACTTTGATTCTACGCAGGTAAAATGTTACACTGTATATTTTAAGTGTGTATCCTCTACTACATTTACCAGTGACTTCTCTGGATACAAACACAACTCAGCTAAAAAGACTGCAACATTTGAGAAAAAAAAATAAGTTTTGAAGAACAGAACTGAGGTATACCTATTAGGGGCATGAATTTAAAGCTGGCTGGTTTCGAGTTTTCAGTAATGTACAGATAACACAAGTCAGCATTTCAGCAAGGGTCCAAACACATCGAAATGCAAAAAAGAAAAAAAAATTGTCTCCCTTATTAACTATGAACGCCTCAATGGCAATTAAAATCCATTTTGAAAGTCTTTCCACTGCTGTCAGACGAGATTTGCTTGATAGAGATTTTCCTTCAATAAAACAAACTCAATCCATGTGTATTAAAGGAACATGAAATGGGACTTTGAATTTTGGATAAGAGGAACAACAATGAGCTTTATACCATATTGCATTAACACGTAGTGCTGGATTACCCTTTTATGTAATAAACATGAGATCAATGCAGTAATGTTACCAAATTACAACTACCTCAGACTGGGACCGTGAGTGCATAAAAACGTGCACAATTACTACTGACGTTTTTTTACTCACCATTAGGCTAATTAATGCCCACACAACACATACATCAAAATGATAAAGTTGCAAGCATGTCATCTGCGAAATTTGAGACCTGAAATCCAATTTTAAGGCAAGTTTTTGGCAGTTCAAAAACCATCCACGTCAATCTCCATGCTCTGGAAATGGGTGTGTGATTCCCAATGTATTCTGGGTAGGTGTAGGAAGTGCCCTGCAGCTTACTTGTTTTTTAATTGATAGCCAAATGAACACAGCGCCCTCTGTTAAAAAATGAAACATTCTACATTCACTCAGATCAACAAGAGGACGCTGCTTTATCTACAAGATGAAAATGTTCTAGCTAGGGAGTTTTTTGCACAATGCATTGCAGTACACATCAACGTGATGTCTCACGTTTGGATTTCGATAACTCTCTGCAAAATTAGAATTAAAAGCTGAATTTTTGGTGATGCAATGCTCACAACAACAACTTTGCAAGGCAGAAGTTTCGGGGATTATTGAAGAAACTGTAGTGAGTAAGAAGCTTGCAAATTTGATTCACACTGGTTTTATTATGCAGCACAAACTTTTGCATGATATGGAACCCTTAAGTTTTCGGACTCTCATACACAGTATTGAGTCCCAAATTTTCGGACTACAACTACCTATGCCTTTATATCCCAACGTGCAACAAGAGCTTGCACACCAAAACAACACAACCACTAGGTGTTTGTTCACAAGCCACGGTTTTCAGGAGAAAACAAGAGAAAGATCTCGTTTTTGGGATGATTTTAAAACAACCTTATTTATCACCAAGGATGTATGTAAGTGGTTTCTGAGATTTTGGCTGGAATTTTACAAGTGAGGTTGGCGTAGCAGTACTTTCCTCGCCTTCCATCGCTGCGACCCGGGTTTGAATCCCACCTACCTGGGCCAATATGTGGATTGGGTTTTCAGTCCCTGCCAGATTCTGTGGGTTTTCGTCATAATATTCTACTGGGTTTTCCTCCCACGTCTAATACTGTAATTTCTTCACACTGTCTTCTCTTAATCACTGGGCCCCATGGGCCATGGAGACCAGTGGATTCCACTGAATGGGCTACCCAGTTAAAAAAGAATGAAATAACTGGAGGTCCACATTAAAAGCAGTGATACATGTATGGCACAACACTGTTTTAAATTAACAGAAATCCTGTAAATGCAGAGCTCACATCCTGACTATATCCATTATGCATTACGAATAGTATAGGCCAAAGTAGTCCGAAAATTTGGGACTCTCAATACTGTGTATGAGAGTCCCAAAACTTAAGGTATCCAAATCGTGCAAAAGTTTGTGCTGCATAATAAAACCAGTGTGAATCAAATTTGCCAAGTTTCTTACTCACTACAGTTTCCTCAATAATCCCCGAAACTTCTGCCACGCAAAGTTGCTGTTGTGAGCATTGCATCACCAAAAATTCAGCTTTTTATTCTAATTTTGCAGAGTTATCGAAATCCAAACCTGAGACATCACATTGATGTGTACTGCAATGCATTGTGTAAAAAAAATCTCTAGCTAGAACATTTTCATCTTGTAGATAAAACAGCGCCCTCTTGTTGATCTGAGTGAATGTAGAATGTTTCATTTTTTAACAGAGGGCGCTATGTTCATTTGGCTATCAATTAAAAAACAAGTAGGCTGCAAGGCACTTCCTACACCTACCCAGAATACATTGGGAATCACACACCCATTTCCAGAGCATGGAGATTGACGTGGATGGTTTTTGAACTGCCAAAAACTTGCCTTAAAATTGGATTTAAGGTCTCAAATTTCGCAGGTGACATGCTTGCAACTTTATCATTTTGATGTATGTGTTGTGTGGGCATTGATTAGCCTAATGGTGGGTAAAAAACCGTCAGTAGTAATTTTGCACGTTTTTATGCACTCACGGTCCCAGTCTGAGGCCAAAGGTGGTGGCTACAACATTATTTGCAATAGATCTGGATCTATTGGCAACGTCTGCTTTGGAGTATCATGCCAATGGGGGTTAGAGTCAGTTCTTAGATGTGCTGGCTCATGTGCCTTTTAAGTCTTTGACCTCAAGACAGCACGTTGACCTCAAGAACCTGCAAGATTTTACGGGAATATGGTACACCGTATACGAGCCACGGTGTGAGAAACATCCTATATTTGTTTGCAAATATGTGATGTGATTAAGCTAAATGAGTGTGTCGACCCTGGTCAATTTTTTATTTTACAGATTTGAAAAGAGCACAATCTCAACATTACTGCTGTGAAAACCGCATGCTGGTACCATCTTTAGTTAAAAAGTCGGAACACCAAGAGATGTGATGAAGTGATGTGATGAAGTGGCCCTATTTTGGCCTGAATCTCCAAATGAACGTTTTGGTCAAATGAATCATTTAGTTTGATGATTCTCGACTAGACTTATCCATCACTGGGTTCTGTAAAGGAGAAGAAAAGCATCTCAATTGTACGAATTGAAGACTAAAATAAAACGAAATGTTACGGCCCTGACTTCCGTTAAATCATTTATTCGCACAACTGGGTAAATGCAAACGCGGGAGTCTGTGTGAGTGTTTGGTAACCAGATGATCACATAAAAAAGTGAATGTGAACTGGCCACAAGGGCGGATCCAGGGGGGGGCCAAAGGGGGCCATGGCCCCCCCCCAAAAACGAAACCAATTTTTTTTTTTTAATGTGACATCGCATAAAGGCAGGCAATGAGTACACCACCATCTTTTCCTAAAAAAAAATTGGTTAAAGTGGTCAGAAATTGCCTCAGATTGCACCACAGAGCATCTAGAATCCAAACATTTTTCGGGGCCCTTAAGCGGGCCCCGAACCCCACGCCGTAATTTTTTAGGCCCACTTTTTGGGGGGACCAAAAATTGTTTTGGCCCCCCCCAAAATTGTGTTCTGGATCCGCCCTTGACTGGCCAGACTTGTACCCTCTATTAAATCGTCAGGACTCTGAAACATTTCAAAGCCCCCTGGTTTAAAATAGAAAAGTGCATATCCAATTCAGTTCTCTCCCCCAATACACCAGCTATTCTATTCCTGCGTCTTTAAATCTTCCATCTTCTGATCCTCCTCTCCCCCGGCCTCTCTTTGGTTGCTTTGTTGCTGCTCCCCTCCTCCATAGCCTCCTCTTCTTGGGGCTTAGACGTCTCTCCAATCGCCTGGACTTCCGCAGGTATTCCAGGAGGCTTTGGTTGCTCGCAGCCCGCTGGCTTGGCTGGGCGTGGCTCGCGAGACACGGGGGGTTTAGCCAGCTCCGCTTGCATCTGCCTTTGGTGCTACATGGAAAAAAAACTTCCCCTGTAAATATCTTATATAGATGAGCAAGATCCTCTACAAAAGGGTCCCTTTTAGACAGGGGCGTCAATCGCTTCTCAAAAGTGGGGGGGGGGGACATACCTTGATCAGAACTGATGTGAGCGCGAAGCGCAAAGCCCTTACAGCGTTCGAAAACATTTGGATTTTAGATGCTCTGTGGTGTGATCTGAGGCAATTACTTACTACTTTCTTCCATGCTTTAACTACTATTTCTTAGCAAAAGAGAATTATTTGAGCATCGTTTTCTAGCTTGGTGTCATTGAATCAGCTACCAGCATTCTGAGCTATAGGCGTGTGGTTCGGAGCCCGCTTAAGGGCCCCGAAAAAATTGATTCTAGATGCTCTGATTTCTGACCACTTTTACAAATATGTTCTTAGCAAAAGATAATAATTTAAACATAATTTTCGAGGTCTTCTCAGCTAAAGGCATAGGGGGCCCCGAAATATTTTGGATTCTAAATACTCTGTGGTGCGATCTAAGGCAATTTCTGACCACTTTAACCAATATTTTCTAAGCAAAAGATACATTGTAGTACATAATAGGGCCCGTAAATGAGACACGAGTTCAAAAATCTGGGGGGGGGGGACATTTGATATTGCATCCCCCACCCTTCAAAAAGTGGGGGGACATGTCCCCTGCCCCCCCCCCCCGGATTGACGCCCATGCCTTTAGAGATTGACACAATATGCCCAAGAAAATTTTGAGTGCCTAAAGGTGATTTCAACCACAACTCTGATTTGATATCAAGTAAAAACCAAGTTCAAGTAAAACTGGCAAATTTATGAACACTCGCCAAACATTTTTTTTATGTAAATGCATTGACCGTTTCGTTCCTAAATAAGAACACACTTTATGAAATATAGATTTGTGAGGCTATTACCGTAATTGGGCACTAACCAATCCCATTCCTAATTTGAAAAAAAGCTTAATTTCTCTTCCTCGGCCATGCAACACAAGTCAACGCAACTGAGCAACAAATGTTGAACTTGCAATAGATTTAAATGTCAGACGTCAAAGAAATAAAACAAACCCTTCCGAATTGATATTTTTGTTGAGGACAGGCCAATTGCAAAAAGAAAAGAGCAACACTTTCATTGTCCATGTATATTACTGAATGGCACTAACCCGCCACAGTTAAGTGCTACTGAAACGTACTTTTAGTTGAGATTATATTTTGATAAGTAATCCAGTTATTTTTTTCCCCTTTCTTCCTTTATCATGTACAGCAAACAAAATCAGACGACTTTTGAACGACGACCCCTAGATACCGCAGGCTGGCAAGTACATACATGTAATGCCACAACTTATAGCATACCACTAAATAAAATCTATGTGAAACTTGAATTATTGACAAAGTTCTATTTTAGGATTCCTCGTGACTTGGAGTTGTTAAAAAGTCCTCACTATCTGCAAGGCCGGCGGACTTTTGGAGTCTTTTGCAAAACAAATGAGTGCATGAACAAGTATAAAATGCATGACAGAAGGAAAACTCTTCATGCAGCTAGGACTGCAATTTGGACAGAAGAAATGTGGTCTGTATTTCTTTCGATCATCTTGTGCTGCATCTTTGTGAGGTGCGGGGTATTAAATGGCTGTGATCCAGTCAGAGGGCCTGACGATGGATTTGTATGTTCTACCCTTTCTCTGATACTACAAGGCCCCCCCCCCCCCAAAAAAACCCAGCTTTCTCTGTAAACTTCTTATATAGATGAGCAAGATCGGCTCCCTTTGAGATTGACACGAATGTCCTATGACAGTTTGAGTGCCTAAAGGTGATTTCAACCACAACTCTGATTTGATATCAAGTAAAAACCAAATTTATGAACACTCGCCAAACATGTTATTATGTAAATGCACTCACTGTATCGTTCCTAAATAAGAACACACCCTATGAAACACAGATTTGTAAGGCTATCAATCAGGCACTAACCCATCACATTCCTAATTTGCCACGCAACACAATCAATGTAACTGAGCAACAAATGTTGAATTTGCAGTATACATAAACGTCAGACGTCAAAGAAATAAACAAACTCTTCCAATTGATGGGGTGGTTTTTTAGGACAGTCCAATTGCAAAAAGAAAAGGGCAACACTTCCATTGTCCCTGTATATTGCTGAATGGCACTTAAAAAAACACCATCAGTATTCCAAATACCTGCCACATTTTGAAGTAAAGTACTACTGAAACATTACAATATATGGATTAACCCTAACAATCCCCATCCAGTCAATCTCCAACACCAGAGTTTGTTGGAATCTGTTAGAGTGAGTACTGCACTTGTAAACGTATTACGCTTTACATGGTGTTAGGCATACAACCCACTAATCAGAGTCCAATATTTTTTGTGTAGAGTTTACAATATGGTGTAGGAATTGGCAGAAGTGGGGAAGGTTAGTATAGTAAACACTCTAAGGGTCGGGGTTAAGTTCCACAATCTGTTCAAGGACTATATTGATGCCGTCAGAAAGTGTTTACAGGTGGCCTTGATGCCACTGCTGCCCTCCCCTGGCATAAACCGACCTGTCATTTGAGCAGAGACCAAGCCTTCGCTTCTTATACTAGGGACTCGATTTTGCAGCCTAGGATTCCAAGACTGGCTGGCTGAGCTCTGGACTATCAAAGCAAGCTTCATCACTGGGGTTTAAATCAAGGCTTGGCGGAGATGGGGAACAGGTGTGCCGCTGGTTGCGACAGGATCTCTCATGCATGGTCGACCACAGAGGTGGACCCAACAGTGACCATGGAACTACCTCCATGGATGGACACACAATTGTCTGGTCCGGCTATGCTCCGGACACACAATAAAACCAAAGACACAGAAACCATCCACCTCATCGTGGACAAGCTTTCCCTTGGGCTGCATGACTCAAGCGACAGATGCAACAAGCGTCAACCCGATTGACGCCCTGAAAGAGCTGGTAGATGCAGTACAAACATCTAGACTCGAATTCTGTAAAAGTTTACTCTATGGTCTTTCTCAGAACACACTCAATCGCTTACAGTTGGTACAGAATGCTGCTGCACGTCCGCTTACTGGTCAAAAGAAATCACTCCCATACTTCACAGACTTCACTGGCTGCCGGTTAAACACAGAATACAATACAAGTTCATTCTCCTGACATTCAAAGCACTTCACGGTTCTGCCCCACCCTACGTACAAAGCCTGCTACAGCTTCGTATTGTCAGACCGGGCTTGAGGTCATCTGGCAGTCTGTCTCCTTTCAATTCCCCGAGCTCATCTTGCCAGTTATGGTGACAGAGCCTTTTCAAATGTTGCACCTCGGCTTTGGAACCGTTTGCCACTTGAAATCAGAGACAAGGAAAAGATCACATCTTTCCCACAGGACTCAACACACATCTCTTTATGCTGCATTTTCCAAACAATTGAGCTCTTTTTCTTCACAAACCTATAGACCGACCCCTTGAAATGGATTCCAGAGAAAGTGCGCTTAATAAATATTGTGTTATTATTATTATTATTATAGAGCTGGTAGATGCAGTACAAAAGCAGGAATTAAACTCGATAGCTAGCCGTTACGATACATTCTATGTAAGGCCTCCAAAAATACAACCTAAATCAAACTATGCACTATAGTGATGCTAGTCAAAACTGCAGCGGGCTAGCCAAACTATTCCTTAGGTCACCCGGCTGGCGAGTCAAAAAAATATTGGGCTACGGCAAAGATGAAAAGACAGAAAGAAAGGAATCATTAAAATTCAGAAAACAAACCTGTATCAATTTATGTCTAATTTTATTAACTGTTTAGGCTTAAATTGTAAGATCTATTTATTAAAACACTGACAAGATTGCCTCAGGATACACGTTTTACATGTATGCACATTTGTTGTTTATGGGACACGGCTTGTTTACTAAATTTAAATAAAAGACTGTGCCATATCAATTTATCAAACACTTGTCATTTCATCATTTTTTTCTGAGATAATATTTTAGTAAGTAATCCAATTATTTTTTTTCTTCCTTTATCAGCAAATACAATCAGACGACTTTTGAACGACGACCCCTAGAGTAGGCAAGCCATGAAGTACATAATGCCACAACTTATAGCATAAAGACTAAATAGTATCTGTAGTAGCAGACACTTCAATTATCGACAAAGTTTTTTTTAGGACTCCTCGTGACCTGGAGTTGCGATTATATTTTAATAAGTAATCCAGTTATGTTTTTCATTTCTTCCCTTATCAGCAAATAACATCAGATGACTTTTGAACGACGACCCTAGGTACCGTAGGCTGGCAAGCACATAATGCCACACCTTATAGCATAAAGACTACATAAAATCTATAGAAGCTGAAACATGAATTATTGACAAAGTTCTATTTTAGGATTCCTTGTGACTTGAAGTTGTTAAAAGCCCTGTCTATCTGCAAGGCCAGCGGACTTTGGAGCCTTTTGCAAAAAAACAATGAGTGCTAGAACAAGTTCAAAATGCATGACAAAACGAAAACTCTTTCGTGCAGCTAGTAGGACTGCTCAGTATGGAAAGAAAAATGTGGTCTGTATTTCTCTCGATCATCTTGTGCTGCCTCTTTGCGAGGTGTGAGGGTGATGACTGTGATCCAGTCACAGGGCATAATGATGGATTTGTATGTTCTAACCAGCTTCCATCATCTGGTGATTATAAATGGTACCTGTGTGCGAATACTGAGTACCTGCAGATACTAACAGGCGGGTCTCACAGATGTATTAATGGGGCGGCATACTGCTGGTTCTACTGTTCTCTCGAAGACCAGTATTCCACGTGTGGGTGTTCTAAGCATCAGACATTTCCTTCCCATCCCTCTCTTCCCAGCTGGTGTTTCAACCCTCCCGCAAAGACATGCAGCTGGTACCGTGATTGCCTGAACGTGAAGAAACCATGTGGCAACTCTACATACGACTACGCCCTGTCATTCGGTGAGCACTTTTGCAAGGCCTACGACAAGTCCTACCACGGG